GAGTGGCAAGAGTATGGAGGAAGAGGAGCAGCAACAGTAGTCCTTGCAAAGGACCTACTGTCCTCTGCTTTGTGGCTGGCCCAGATGGAAAGGTCAAGTGGATGGACAGCAGTACAGATAGCAAAGTGGAGGATGTTTTCCCAAGAATCCCAGCACCTCAGATCTGGAGCTGCCATCTAAAAGCCCTGGTTAGAATAAATTATCTGGAAGTTAGTCTGTTCCATTAGAAGGAATATTTTCCAGTGAGTTCAGTTTCCTTTTTGGTTGCCTACCAAAATAACCAGGAAATAGTATACTGTGCAGTGAGGGCACATTTGGTTCACTGACTTGTTCCTCCCCTGCAACACTCACTCCTTCTCTAGCTACAAAAAATGCTATCTTTCTCTCCTCCCCTGCTCAGAAAGCCATTTCCCCCAAGGCTTTTCCTGATCCATTGTAAATTTCTCTGCACCATCCATCTCCATTCTTGCTGCTCTTTTATCATAGGGTATGATTGGATCATTCAGTCACTGCATCTTGGCATGATTCACCAACAAGAGACAAGCCCAGAGCAGTGAACTTGTAAAGGGAACAAGTCTAGCCCCTGAGCACTGATGGGGCTCCTGTAAGAGCAGATAACTCTTATTTCAGGGGAGAAATTGCCCTCAGCCATCAGATGTCCCCGGGGAAACCTTACCACAGTAGCTAGCTTAATCAAAGGAGCCATCAGGAAAGCTTCTGTTTAGACCAGCAGTGTGTTTAAAACAAGGCATAGTCTTTTTATATGCCAATGTTAATCCAAGAATCTCATGGTTTTCTCCTCCCTGAGCATTTAACTCCACAAAACCTGTGAGGGGAAAACAAGAAAGAGCCTTGTGGTGCTTTAAAGACTGACACGTGTATTTTGGTGTGTGCACTGACCATTTTATTAGATGTATCTAACTGATGAAGAGATTGGTGTCCAAAGTGTGCATCAAAGTGTGCATCAAAATAAATGTGTTAGTCTTTAAGGTGCACATCTTTGCTGTCTTTGCTATTCCCCACCCCACCCCTGGGTACCTGTGCAGACTAAGGAATAGCACCCAGAACAAGGTCTCCTAAACACTTGCATGGTTGAATGAGGATTTCAACCTGGATCTTCTTTGTCCTAGTTTAATACTCTGCCTAGTCCTTCCCAATCTTGTGGTCTCCAGATTAGCCACACTGGCTGGAAAGGATGGCAGTGGCAGACCAAAATATCTGAGGCTATCAGTTTGGTGAAGGCTGGGCTAGCCACTATTAAGAGTAGATTTTTAATGTGTTTGTGTAAGCAGGTTCACATGAAATAATATGCAGGTTGTGTATATCATTGAATTGTGGGCTGTTGATACATGGAATCCCTGCGTAGCTCTGGGTTGATAGCCACTAACAATGAAGAGTTCACAACTCAACATAAGCTCTCTTCCTGGGTTGTTTGTAGTTAAACCATAGTGTAGAGTTTGCATATAACAACCCACAGTTCAACAACAACCCATACTCTGGATTGTTATATGTGATTCAGGTCTATATGTTCCCATGATAATAGCACTAACACAGAATCTGACATGCAATGGATTCTTTTTTTTTCATAGGAGGGAGAGTGTAAAGCCTCTTACTTGCATGTAGTGTTACATCAGTGCAATTCCCACCCCCTGTAGCCAGGGAAATAGTCCATGTTATGTTTGGATTCAGGGCTCAAATGTAGTACAAGGCAACTTGACATCAATCTGACCCCCTTTTCAGGACAACACTGTATGGAACGTGGCTCATATAACTGCCAGCTCAAAATGCCAAGCCTGGTGGGGTTTCTTTTTCACCTCCGCAGCACGCCAACAGCCATTCAGGAATACTTCTCATTTGTAAAGAGGCAGCTGTCGCTGTTCCCAGGTTCATTTCTATGTGGAAAGCGCTGCCTAAGCAAGCAAGTGACCTGTCCCCTACTTTCTGCCTGCAGGCTGGTACTAACAGAGTTTTCAAGACACAGATCTTGAGTGACATCCCACCCCTTTATTTGTAGATCATGACTTTGGAATCCATTGCTTGGGGGAATACAATTTGGAATAAAGTGAGGGACAGGAAGAAGGCTAAGTGCCCCTTTTTGTATCATCCTACATTCTCATTTCCCAGCCTCCCCTTCCCTTGATTTCTTTGGCTTAGGAAAAACTGCATTCATTCATAGATTAAACATATCTTAAACTGTCCTTCATCCCTGTGGATACCAAGGCAGTGTACATACTGGCATTCGTTATGCAACATCTATTTATTTAAAACATTTCCACCCACCTTTCCGGTAAAACACAGTGAAGGTGGTTTACACACACAGCACAAAAATGAAGCCAACGTTTTAAAAACTTACTTAAGGAGTTGGACTAAACTCTTCCCAACCTGATACCCTCCACATGTGTTGGACTATAAATCTTATCACAATGAGCATTAATCATGCTTGTTGGGTGATGGGAATTGTAGTCCAGCACATTGGAGGACAGACATTTCAGGAATATGTCCACTTCCCTTTCAACAAGTTCTACCAAACCTTTTCCTATTAGAAGTTCAGGCCTTAGGTGAGTCTCCTTGAAAAAAAGTGATTAATACTGATGCCAAAAATCCTGACTATCAACTCACACTGCAAGAATTCTATGTATTGACAAATTGGAATGGATCTATATACATGGGAACCTTGTCCAAGCACAACTTTTGAGTCAAATGCAAAAATTTGCCTGAGTTGTTCATCAGGAATTGCAAACTGAAATAAATACATGGAGAGAAGGCGGACACCAGAAGAGAGTTGGCTTGATGCCAGACACTTAATTAAGTAAGTGGCCAGAAGGATTGGTGCTATATGGTTTTGTTTTGTTTTTGTTCAAAATATAATAAAGTGTTGTCATCAGACTTTGCTGCTGTTGGTTTAGCAACTTACAAAGAAGTTTGAGCTCATGGGAGAAAATTACCTTGTCAGCTATTTATGAACCATTCCATCATTTTTTAAAAAAGTTTTTGCTTATGCATAGCCAGAAGCATGTTCCCACATATCCCCCGTCATAGAAATATCATATGGCACAACAACTCTATTTCGAAATGCAGGATGGATGGAGCGGTTTTAAAAGCCATGGAGTCTGAGCTTTGATGTGCTGTGAAAGTGCTGCACATGGAAGGAAGGGAAACTCACTACAGACAAGCGGACCCAGAAAAAGACAAGAAATGAAAAAATAGGTAAGAGGGGTTTTTTGAAAAAACATCCAGCGAGCTTTGGCTTGTAAATCGTTTTGCTTTATTAATTTATATACAGCACAAGCTATGTGAGAATATGCAGAGTTCAATGGGGCTGACTCCATATAACTTTAGTATGGGACGGCATATTTACTTTGATTTTAGCCAACAAAAGCTTCCCAACACCCAGGGTTTTTTAAAACACCCTATCAGACAACTCTGTTCATGGTCGGGTACTTCTCTCCTTCCGTCTGCAGTATTTTGATTTTTAAATTAAATACATTTAATTAAAATCTAAGTACCAGGAAAGTTCATTAACAATCCCAGTCTCTATTCTTACTAACAAAATGTTCCCACGGGCAGTTTGTGCCAGGCTGCAGCAGCGAAATGCCTTGCACGATCCTATGTATGGCTACCCTGTCAATGTCATTGCAGAATTTAAGACGCAATCCTCTGCTGGCTGGGCGTTGTATAACTTCAACCATGCACAGGATCACGCCATTCGCCACAGCCAAGTGCCCATCGGGGCGCTAACTGTATTCTATGCATATCGCCTTTGTGATTAAGTTCCACTGAATTCAGCGCACTTTCCTCCCAGGCAAGGGGGCGGGTGCGGATATAATCCTGTGCTGATAAGACAGAAAAAAAGTCGTACACCTCCCAGCATGCCCTAGCTAGTATTTCCCCCCCCCCTGCCCCCCCCCCCGGCTACTCATGCAAATTACTTTTAGGTTGAAAACTGACACTTATTCACAAGGATGCAAGACCTGCCGCGTACTTTTTGGTAAACGTGCGTTGATTGGATTGTACCGTAACGCTCTCCGTTGTACTCATTTTTTAAAAACAGGTATTTATCCCTTCCCCTTTTTAGAATCCCGAAGCAGACTTTTCCCACTACTCGATGTTATAACCATATACGTTAAAATATACATTTTGGGGGCAGAAAAGAATGCAAGAGTAACATCTCAGTGACTTTCATAGGCGGCCAAAAGTTTGCACACATGGGCCATATTGGAAAACTGCCTCTATTTTTTCCTCGCACGGGATAGAGAAGAGTTTGTAACTTTTGCTTTTCTTTAAAAAATGGTGCATTCCCAAATAGAAACGCAAATGCATCCAGCCCTTGGCAAAGGGTCGCGTTCGTTTGGTTTTCAGCCAACGCGGAAAAGTGAGGCCGAGACGGCTGCCACATTTCCAGAGAGGCCCAGAGGGGCCTTGAGCGGCAGCGGTGGCGGCAGCAGGAGCCTCAAACGGGGCAATCGCGTGCGCCCAGAGAGGAGGACAAGCGCGCGTCAGGCGCCGCACGGACTGCACTGGCCTCGCTCGCGCTGGGGTGGGGCTTCCAGAAGCGCTCGCGGGCCTATTGTTGCTGGGGGAGCAGGCGGTGATGTCAACTGTCACAGCCGCGCTTGTCTCTATGCGCGCGTCCTCTCCACAGACACACCCCCAGTCCTCCCCCCGCCTTCTCGTCCGGGCATTCCCTGGCTGGCGGCCGCCGCCGCCGCTGCTCGCTGACAGGCAGCCGCCCCGCCCTTCCCTGTCCCTGCCTGGCTCCGCCTTCGCTCTCTCCTCGCGCCGACCTTTCCCCTAGTTTCCAGAGGGTGGTTCGGCGCGGCCACCGCCACGGAACGTGCCCACGAGGGGCCTTTCCTGCTCGCAGCCTGGCTGCACGAGGCAATCACGCCGCCCGAGGGAGCTCATTGGTCGGCGAAGGGGCAGCTCGGGCTGTGATTGGTGAGGCGCTCCTTCCCTTCCCCTTTCGTTCTCTCCTCCCCTGCTCCCCGCCCACCCCCCGTTCCAGCTGCTTTTGCTGTATGGAGTGTTTTGGTGTGTTTCCCTCTGTGTTTTGGCTGCTCGCCTCCCTCGAAGGAGGGGGCGGGAGAGAGGCAGGCAGGCGGCGGCGGCGGCGCTTCTGGCGATTGCTGTTGCTGGCTTTGTCACATCGCTGCTGCCTGCGGGAGCTTTCACCATGCACACCTCGCCTTGCGCCGATGAGATGGGAGATGCCCCTTCTGTGAGTACCACTTGCTGCACGGTGCGAGGTGACAGAGGCGAGGGAAGGGAAGGAAGGGGGGAGAGAGGGGCAAAGCAGAGACCCCCGCCTCCCCTGTCAGCTCCTAGGGCTGAAATAGGCTGACTTGATTCCTCCCCACTCCTTTCCTTCTGATCCTTTTCGCATCACTTTCTACGGTGCAAGATACTTGGGGTACAGAGGTGCGGGGGAAGGGGAGAAACACTGATGAACAATGGTGGGTGCGTGGAGAATCAGAGCAAATGGATCACTTGGCTATTCATCTGTTCGATGCAAATATCAATGAAACGGCGAGACGCCAAGGTGATGGGCGCGTTTGATGCGCGCGTGCTTTATTTGTGGCGTTGGACTACAGCTTTCCTAACCTGCTGTGGGTTAGGTAGAGCAGGAATGATCAGTCTAACAAAGCCAGTTCATGCGATTCCTTTCCCTGGTCTGTCTAGGGCGCGTGTGGGTGGCTCTTCGAACTTAGCTGGACTTGGTGACGTTTATGTTTGCGAATGATAACTTAATACTGTTCTCCTAGCCTTAAACTTGCTTCTGAGCTCGGAGAGATGGACAAGCATAGAGTGTATGATGCAGTGGGCATTTCTCATTCTTGCACCCAATGTTATGCATTCTCCTCAAGGAAAGTCCTAATGAGTTCAATTAGACGGACTTACTCGGAAGAGTGCAATGCATAGAACTGTAGGTTTATTTGCCCTGGGAGTAATGCCTTACCCCATGGGTAGTGCCCACTGACGCACACAAAATGTACTTCACGATGAGTAATCGCAGCGAATTGTGATCCACCGTTGCCTGGAAATGACATGTATTCGCGCCCTGCAGATTGTTAGTGCAAGAGGGATACTGCCTCGCTCAAGCTAGGTGTCGATCTCATAGATGGTCGTGTTTGGGGAGGAGGTAACCTCCACATTTTGTGGGTGGGGTTCTTTGTTAACTTTGTCATTTTTTGATCCTTGCTGAGAGAGTCGTGCCCCTCTTCCTGCAATCCTTGCCTTCCAATCAGGGAGGGAAACTACCACGCCTCGCTTAGCAGTGCTTCCCAGCAGTGGCTCTGCTAGAGACCACCACCCACTTGCTCACATGGCTATTTTGATGCATGACGTCGCCCCACTCTTCCCCCCCACCCCAGAGCTATATTTGGAGTGGGTGGTTGCTCTGGATCCCTTGAGGTGAAGAGAAAGCCTTCCAACCCCTTCCCTCCCTTTAGAAGGTGGTGCTTCACCTCCTCCTAACCAATTGACAGGGACTTCGTAATTTTGCTCATCTGCATGTCAGCCCCTCACCCCCCCTTTTTTTCTTGTTTAAGCAAAGTAACAAAGCTGGAAAATAAAGCACCGAGCAGTATAGGGCAGGAATGGATGTAAACAGTCGCCCCTCCACGTTTGATAACGTTTTTGTTACCTCAGGAGAGCGAGTTGGTGGGAAATTTCCCATCTTTGTGTGGCTGCAGACTCGCAGCCGTTTCTTGCGTTGAGTGCCAGCTCATCCGGTTTGCCTCTGCAGTGTCTGGGTGGAAGGAGGTGATTTAAGGACAGGCTGCCAGGCTAAGTTATGCTGGTGCGTGTCTGTCTGGAAGTCAGCCTCTGCTTCTTAAACCTGCGCGCTCTCTCCCCCCACCCCTTTGTAAGCTTATTAAATCTATTGTGGACTTCATGCAACACAAGTAAATCTAAAATGTTCTTTAAATGTTTCTCTCTGAATCATTTGAGCCTTCGAATAAGCTCTTCTTACGTTTCAAAGCCCACCCCAGTACTTTTTATTCATTTAAAACGAGTTTTCTTTTGACTCCAAAAAAAATAATTCTCAGGAGTTGCAAGCAAATGTTGAAGTCGTCCTCCCTTTAAGTGTTTCCATTCTTTGATATTTTAGAATTTATTACATAAATATTATTTAAATGCTAATTATTAGCACAGTCAGAGTTGGTACTTTTGATCATCCTATGGATTAAATAAAAAGCAGATGCAAAGAACCCTTTTATTATTTAGATAAGTTTCAAGTCTGATGATTTTACTCTTCTTCCCCTCTAAACCTGCTCAGTTTGCTAAGTGTCTGTGAACCTGCAATGCCAAGTCATTGGGTTAGCTGGAAATTTCATATTAGTTTCATCATATGGAAAGTATGTTGGCATCATTTTATATGAACCAAATTAACAATTTGGAGCCAACGTGGTCTACATCTATACAGTTAAGTTCTCTCTTTGCAACCTTTAATATGTGCACAAGCTTAATTTGTTGCAATTGGATTACTTGTGTGTAGCTGGGGGTTGAATAGAACCCAGTATTGTTTAGTAATATTTGCAGGTGATACATTTTATATGTATTTGTGTGTGTGTGTGTGTGAGAGAGAGAGAGGGGGGGGGGGGGGGGGGGGGGGGGGGAGGGAGAGCTAGCTGTGAACTACTGTCCAAGAGGAAGATTTTACTTTCCTTGTGCATATAGGCTCCTCATTGGCTGCTGTGAAAATTTTGCATGTGTGCTGAATAGAGAACTGAAGCATGTGCAAAATATGGGGTTCTAGATTAAGTTGTGATGTGAGGAGTTTGTAATAATTTATCACAGGAAGCTGCTAAGGTCAACAAAAACTAGTAATACAAGCCCAAACTCCAGACTATTGTTTGTAAAAAGACGGTGACATACCTGTTGCTATAGCTGTACAGTAAAACACACAAAATCCCATTGTTTTCAGCAACCTTGAACATGCTCAACTGTGCTGTGTGGCCAGCATTTGCTTTTTCCAACAAATGGTCCAGTGATGTTCACCGGTTTTCAAGCAGAAGTTAAGCAATACTGAGCATGCTTAGAGAAACATCCGTCAATTCACAGCATTTTCCAGGCAGTATGGCTGGTTAGGGAACGCTTGGAGTTGTGGGACTTTTGCTGTCTGAGGGTGCATAGGATTGTGCCTTAGGGGTTTTGCTTGGGCTGAGCTGCACCCCACGCCCACTTCCCCAGGCAAATGGACTTGGCTGGGGCCTCCCTTCCCCATCTCCCTTCCCATTGCCCAAGCAAGGCCTCACTGGTCAAGCCAATTCTAAACTGCTGACTTGGTCCTTGTATTGGACCAGTCCTCCTCCTTGTCACCAAGAGAGAACTCTGCTCTGCTGGTGTTGCAAAATGTCTCAGTGCAGGTGCACATTACTCTCCTTTGCAAGCACATCCAGATTGTCCACCCTCCCACAACTGTGTTGTGCCCCACTGCAACTAGCCAGTCACATTGCTCCCCTGCTCTTGGGCTTCACCCCACCATAGCTAATGAGTTGACTGAGCCTGCCTTCTCTTCTCCCCCTTCCTGCCCTGCCCACCATTTTACAGCTGAGGCACTGCAAGCCCCCCCGCCCCCCCGGCTCTTTTTTCCTGGAGCCCAGATCACAGCAACCAGCCCACTGCACAAGCAAACAACAAGGTAAAGCTAGAGAGCCCCTGCTGTGAGTTTCCAGCTGCTGGGGGGGGGGGTGAAAGAGCTAGGTGGAGAGCCACACCTGAGGTGGTTGTGGGATGCCAGTGGGATGCCTCAGTAGGCACTGAGGAAGACTGAAATTGACCCAGGGCTGTTGTAACAGCATTATGGGCCCCGGGGAAAAACAGTGTACTGGGGCCCCTATGACAACTACTCACAGGAATAAAAATGTAAAAATGAAGGGTTAACATACACAGATTAGTATGGGGCCCATGGGCAAGTGCCCATCAGGCCCATGCGTTAAGACAGCCCTGAATTGACCCTTATCTGGAGGTAATCACAGGGTGTCCTTGTGCAACTCATTGAGCAGAAGAGGGGCATGTAAGTGAATGCGCATCTCACACAGTGTAACGCACTGCAGGGGGAGCGACTGAATGCTCACCCAGCCCACCTTACAGCTGTCATATCTGCTAATGTCTGTAAGAAAATCTGATGCATCAAACCAAATGGTAAGTTGTTTTAGTTCACTGTTCTGGGCTCTGACCAACAGCCAATTCTCCAATCAGTGGAGCAGTGCTAAGATCCTTTTAACAGGGGTTTCAGGGATCAGATGTGGAGGTCTTTGACTGAAAGGCGATACTACAGCTTCTTCTGGTTATGGGGGCAGACATCAGCAGTCTGCTGATCAGGACTTTGATCTATATTGTTGTGGGCAACCATAACAGGCCTGAACCCCAAAAAGCCAGGCCTGGGTCTCCAACTCTTTAAAAAGTTTCTTTCACTTGGCATTAAAGTCTAGTTGCTTACAACAGAACTTGAGGCAGTATTCCCCTGGCCCTGACAGTCTGCTTTCATGAAGCTAAGGAGTCTCTCCCTCTCTGATATAAAGATGGGACAAGAAATATGCACGGTGCACATCTGCAGCCTTGAACGTCCCTTATCAGGCATTACTTCTGAAGACAAGAGGCAGTAACAAGCCTATGCTTTGATGTCAGACAGATAGGAACCGTGGCTGTCCAGTCAGGAACACACCTGACTACCTCACAACACTTCATTATTTCTTAGCACCTGTGTAAACACTATTACTCCTGTTACCATATCTTTTAATTGTATAGAATGCTGTACGCATGCACGGAATGCATTAAGTTTGTTATCTATAAAAGCTAGCCACTTCTTTTGTCCTGTGGTTCAGACTGTTTCTGAGGGGGATTCTGCTTTTTTCTCTGAGCCCAGCTGATTGGGATCCTGCTTTGCAGAAGTTCCTGCTGTGCAGAGTTAAGAGGCTTGCTGCTTAATGTTATGGAAGTCTAGCTTGCTTGGTTGGCATTATTGCAATAATAAATAATCTCTGTCTTAGTAAACCAGGAGTCGGCATATCACTCTCTTGAAATCTAAAAAAAAACAAAACAAAACCCTACTGCCCCCGGCCAGGGCAACACAGCATCTTGTGTCTGTCCAGATATTTGACCTACAACTTCAATCATCCATCACCATTGACTAAGCCAGATAGGGCTGTTGGGAGTTATAAGTCAAAACCTTGATAGGTTGGAACAGTGGGTCCAAATCGACAAAATGAAAGTTAATAGGGACAAATGCCAAATTCTGCACCCAGAAAATGAAGTATGTAGTTGACAAGATACCTGACTCACTAATCCTGCAAGCAAAAAGGATGTAAGTGATTTTTGGGGTGATTGTAAGTCCAGTTGAATATGAGTGAGTGATGTGAAGTGGCTGCAAAAAAGGCAAATGCTATTTTGGGCTGCATGTTTAGGCTTGAGAAGAGACGACGGAGGGAAGATACAATGGCACATTTCAAGTACTCAAAAGGTGGCCACACAAAGGAGGGCCTGGGTCTCTTCTCAATCTTTCCACAGGGTAGGACACCCTGTAATTTGAAAATTGGGCCCAAATTACAGAAAACCAGAGTCTAGCTGTACATCAGGAGGAACTTCCTGACTGATAGAGCAGTACAGCAGTGGAACCAACTTCCTAGGGAGGTTGTGGGCTATCCAACACTGGAGGCATTCAGGATGCAGTTGGACAGTCTTCTGCCAGGAATGTTTTAACCCGGAGTCCTGCACTGAGAAGGGATTGACCCAATGGCCTTCTTAGCCCCTTCCAACTCTACTTTTCTGTGATTCTAAAACATCTGGAGGGCAGGGGCCACAGTTGTCCATCCCTGGTCCATATACTGAGTTTACAAGCAGACAATGAGTATGCCTTACCTGTGGTATCTGATCGACTAACAGTGATGGCTTGTTTATCTCTAGGTTGACTTTGTGGACATCTGTGAATCCATTCATGAACGGCAGCGTCATGACAGCGAAAGGTCTACTTGTAGCACCCTGGAACAGAACGACATAGAAGCAGCTGAGGCTCTTGTTTGCATGAGCTCCTGGGGTCAAAGGTCACAGAAAGGTGATCTGTTAAAGATAAGGCCTCTTACACCTGTCTCAGATTCAGGTGACTTCACAATGCACGCTGAACCCACCTCTGAGTTGCCCAAGGATTTTAACTTTTTATCTACACTGGTAAGGAGACATAAACAAACACACCCTGAAACAAAATCAGTATGTGTGGGATAAATAGAAATGTGCAAGCAGAAAGAAATAAAGAGGTCCCCATTTAATCTATGACTAGTGCTTCATTTATTTGGCTTCAGATATTCTTGTTGTGGTTGGTGGTGTCAGTAGTAAGCCATCAGAAGTAGTATGTTTCTTCTGATATTGGCCACACACTTCTTTTTGAGTACAGTACTTCCTGTTTAGCCAGTGATACGCTTCAGATTATTGTGACTCTTTGGATCGCATCTGCCTGTATCATTTCCTCTTAATTGAGTCAGAGCAGCAACACTGACAGTGTGCAGTTACAGCTGTAATGTGGGGAACACTAACTGGGTGCTTGGGCAATTCGTACCACTTGTGAAGTGGCGAGGTTGCTCCATGTAAGCCAAAGAGCTGTGTGCTGAAGCTCTGCACCTCAGCATTCAGCTGGTCTTTCAGGATTGGCAGTAATCCAGCACAGGAACATTTGCAGGCACTGTTTCTCCCCCACTGCACTTGATTCAACTTGTGGGAAGTGGCCTGATACCGAGTCAGAACCTTGGTCCATCTAGGCCATTCTTGTTGACATTGACCAGTGGTGGCTCTTCATGGTGTCAGGCAGATGTGTTTAGCCAGCCCTGCCCAGAGCTGCTGGGGATCCAACCTGCAACCCTTTTGCATGCAAAGCAGGTGCTTTGTCAGAGTGCCAGCTTCCCTCCCATCCTGTCCCCTCCACATTGGGCTGTAATTCTAGATGAGCCTGGAATGCAGAAGCAATTTTCTTACAAGATATTCAGAACGAGCTGCATTTAAATGGGCAGCTATATTGTTGTACACTTATGCTTTGGAAATGCCTAGTTGGGGATTCGAATGAGAGAGCGCTGGTTGTGAGTGAAGTAGGTATCGGTGCTGGGGCATTACCCGACCTAATGCTTGTAGTGTGTTATATTTGTATGCTAATACTTTCCCTTTTTATTATTCATTTCCTTATGTAGTGTATGACACCACCATATAGTCCAGATTTTGTTGAGCCTTCTCCAACAACAGCACTACTGTCATCACAAACCACTTACTCCAAATCTAGGACAATCAAGGCTAACCCATCTGCCTGTGTGGTCACTCCCTCAGGTTGTGCTCTCACTGCAGCCCAGCCATCTGGCTTGCACGTGGAGAGTCAGCCTAGCCACAAGCGAGCAAGAGCTGAGCAACCTGTTCCTCAGCTTTGCAGAGCCATGGCAACCAGCGTGATCCGTCACACAGGTGACTCACACATTCCTAGTGTGCAGCCAGTCTCAGGCATCAGCGGTTCTCCAGACCAGCACCAGGCACAAGGCCTGCGACATTCCAGAGTTTTGGAGGACGGTGATATGGCAGACAACTCAACCTACAATGCTTCCCCAGCCCATGGGTCTCATTTGCACAACTCGAGCTGCTCAAGAGCTGCCAGTCAAGGACACGAACTGCTGAAGCAGGCTTCACAGCAGACTTCTTTCCCAAAGGACTCTGAAAATGATGCACAGCAAAAGGCCACCCCGCTTCTGCCCACCCCGCTTTCCAGTCCCCAGGTGATCTGCCAGATGATCCCTTTGGATGGACACAGAGGGGTGGTCCCCGCCTTCCTAAAGCCCTCGACTCAGACTGCAGCAACGGTCAAGCCCATCTTACCGCACTCAGCCCCACTTTCCCAGCCTGTGCTCATGGGACCATCCATGCCACAGGGGACTGTTATGCTGGTCCTTCCTCAGGCTGCAGTTGCCCAGGCGTCGCCCTGCCAACAACCAGTGATGTCTGTTGGGAATACTAAGTTATTGCCTCTGGCACCTGCTCCAGTTTTCATTGCTTCTGGTCAAAGCAGTGCACCTTTAGTGGACTTTTCCCGGAGACGGAATTATGTTTGCAACTTTCCAGGCTGCAGGAAAACATACTTTAAAAGTTCTCACCTGAAAGCCCATCTGCGAACTCATACTGGTATGTATAGAGGTGAATAAGGGTGATATGGTATTTAATGGCCATATGCCAACATAACTGAACATTTGGATTTTAGAACTGTGAAAATATGACTGGGGAGCAGGAATGAGTGAGGAATTTGCTTCATTGCGCGCACCCCCATTTATCCGGTTTATACTTCTTGGAACTGGATGCAGACTTGAATGCAATTTGGGGTCAGAAAGTTTAAGCTTTATCAAGCTTGTGATGAATTCTTTGAAGCAAACATGCTGGTGCACACGTCCAGCTATCATGATGAGGCCAGCGTTGGGGCATGTGAGTATTCCCCTGAGGGGAAAACAGCATGTACAGTGAAGCCAGTTCCCACCAGATGTGGCAGCTGAGCCGATGTTGCAGGGGATGGTCCTGACCCAGATGTCCCTTGGCTCATGGAGGACTGGATGGGTGGTCACTCATACTTCCGTTCTTGGCTAGTTTGCTTTAGAGAAATATGCTCAAAGAGGAAGATATTTTCATAAAATTAATCATAATATGTCAGTTTCTTTACTTTTGGTGGCAGAAAAGACTAGTTATTAATTATTCATTATAAAGACTATAATCAGTTGACAAAATGCTTGATTTGATATGTTGCGGACAAATGAGATTGTCTTAATCTCTATTTACTTAACTAAATGTTGCACCTTTTTCTTCATACAGGATACTTCTGACTTCTGTTGGGCAGATAAGGTGCCATTAGCAATTGAATGAATGAATTTTTTAAATAAGTAAATGGCAGGCATGGGGCCCCAATCTGGATCAGGCCCTGGTAATGGCTGGTGAGGGTTTCATTAGCCCTTTTGCGTTGGCAGAAAAGCTCCAGTTTGTGACAGTGGATGCTTCTTTCCCAGGCAGATGACTGCAGCAGCAGAGAAACAATGGTTAAAGACCCTCTAACACATATCCAATACAGAGCTACTTCTGAAGTGCTGTGCGTGCAGTTGTCTTTATATTTTGTTCCTTAATTCACAAAATCCGGCTGTGGGAGGAGCCAGTCTCAAGCAAGGGAGAGTTCATTTGCGCAACACTTTGTAGTGTTTGTTGGTAAAGTCAGCTCCTTTACTTCGTCTGTTTTCATTCTCTGCCCTCTTTGCAGGAGAAAAACCTTTCACTTGTAGCTGGGAAGGTTGTGATAAAAAGTTTGCCCGTTCAGATGAACTGTCCCGCCACCGCAGAACTCACACAGGGGAGAAGAAGTTTGCCTGTCCAGTCTGTGACCGCCGCTTCATGCGTAGTGATCACCTGACAAAGCATGCTCGTCGTCACATGACCACCAAGAAAGTTCCCAGCTGGCAGACAGAGGTTGGCAAACTGAACAGGATCGCCACAATGGAGAAGCCAAGGAGCGAGAGTGCTTTGGGCATGCTTCTGCCCATGTTGTCGTCAGGCTAAACAGGCCTCTCTGTGGAAACAAACGCTTTGAGAGGAACCTCCCAAAAAACAGCTTTGACTGATTTTTTTTTTTAAATTCCTGTGAGTTATGCTTTTATACCATGGAGGGGAGAAAACTGTAGAAGTCTTCTGCCCTCCACCTCTTCACTTTAAGCCCTACTTAAATGTTGAGTTATATTTTATTTCTCCTATCCTTTCCCCCTGCCCCTCCAAAATTTTGGGGAATTTACCAGCACTTCAGGAAAGCAAAAACTAAAAAAGGGTGGGGTGCGTGGCAGATAGATTGGCAAGGGATTGTTTTTTGCAAACATGTATCGAGTAACAGTGGTGGATAGAAAGTGAAACAGGGTGTTTTTCCCCCATTTTATACTATTTTTCTATATATCTTATATTTGTTCAGCTGCAGCCTGATCTTGAAGTCACACTTTGAGAGGTGAGTTATGCAAGATCAGTGTAAACCTTTGGAATACGCTTTTTTGCTGAATGCAGCCCAACCTGGTTTTAGGGTATCATGTACAAATCCACTGGAGAATTGCCTGCCATGTCGTCATGGTTTAGAGCAAAGGCCTTTTCTCCTATGTCTCAAAATAGGTGCCTAGGCATTCTGTGGCAGACTGATGCATACAGCTAGTTGAGTCTTTCTTACTGAGATACGGGCCGCATGCAGCACTGCTAAGAAGTCCTTGCCTGTGTAGTAAGTCCACATGGCCAACTGCACCATCACCCTAGGTGCCCTTCCATATGTATGTAGCAGCTGCTGTTAGTCAGGGATTCTTGGCTTGCAAATACTAGTGCCTGTGATACCAGCTGAGTGAAGCTCCTGTATGGGCTCCGGTTAAGTGCTGAGACTGCATGTGATCCCTGTTGCATCTAAATTGGCTCTTGGATACACAGTTCCAGAACACCGGTTGCTAGTTTGACTAGAGTTGGGCAAGAATCTATTTTGGACATTTGGATCTATTTTGAAATAAAGGAGTGGCTTATTAGAGTACCCCGTGTTTATAAATTGCAACATCAGAAATGTTCTTTATAATTTTGACCTTCGTGGTGATGACTCAACAGGGTTGTGGGCTGCATATCTGTCTGTCAACAATACAATCCTGCCAGCATTAAAAACCTTCACATCCTGTTGCCTTCGGTGGGAAAGTTAAGCACATCCTTAAATATGACCCTCTGAATTTAATGGTGAGGAAGCACCTAACTTTGGTTGAACATTTTCTGTAAGCATCCTTACTCATCAAGCACATAGTCCAACTGCATTGATCCATTGTGATGGCCAAAATAAAGGGGCGTGGAATTATGGCTTGAGGTCAAAGCTGAAAATGCACTGCCTGTGTGATTGTCTTTATATCATCCATTTGGAGACCTTTTAACATACCCACAAAAAGCTTAATGAATTCTCACTTAAGTGTTTGAGGGAGGACAACCAATGCGAACTGTGTAACATTCCATATTTTGCATGTATTCAGTTGGAGCTCTAGGTCAAATCCAACACTACCACTTGTATAATGGTACTTTCCTACCCTCCCTGCAATCTGTTGTGAAGGACTGGTAGATTTTGGGAAGTCTGCGGGAGCGCGGGATGCTGCTCTGTCAGTAGAAAATACCTTCTGACTTATAATACTTGTGCTTTTAAAATTGGAAGCATCCATAACACTTGTGGGATACTGCAGACTAAACATAAACACAGTTCTGTTTTCTTTTCAAATTGCCCATACATTTCACAGCTTTAGAACAAAAACCTTTATATAAAAAAATACTGCAGGTCTTGTTTCATTGTCCAGAGTACATTAAGTAAGTAAAATAAACTGATGGCAATTGTAGAGCTGCTCTCTGTTGGCTTTTGGAGAGCACGATGAGAGAAGTAAACTAAGGGATACAGGTGAGTCATTCAGCTACCTTCTCAGTTTGCTAAATTTTGCATAAATATAATTATGCTGAGAAATTAGTTTCTAATGCTTGATTATGTGAATGCATGGGTGTATTATGCGTGTGGTATAATATCTGACATTCCATTAGCATCTGAAAATAGATAGATCCCATGATTATTCTATCAACCAGATGCATTCACTATTAAGAAAAGGTTGCAGTGCATTCATGTATTTATTTTGGATCCATCTGAAAATATTTCCACTGATGTGAGTTTCCTGGAAATAGATTTGGAGTAAGTAGTTTGAAAATTGCAGCTGAGAACTCTTAATTTTAAAAAGTTTCACCGATGTGCATGCCATCAGTTGCCAAATAATGCTTTGGCAGTGGTGGTGTGTAGGGCTGCTGACATTTTTACTGGCTCCATTTCAGCTTCTCTCCTAGTAGCCTATTCTACAGAAACTTAGGTAGGGAAGCAACCTTCAGAAGCTAAATGTCTGCAAGGCAGGTTGCTACTCAAGGTGCAGAAAATTTGCCAGGGATACAAATTTGTGGTTTGCTAGTCTGCAGATCCACTTTTGTCAGGATGCCTATCCTAAACATTTGCCATCTGCCCGCTTAGTATTGAATTGGAAGGCATGAGCTTTTATGGAGGTGATCATGACAGCAGCAGGCGCCATATCTTTAAAAAGTAGTGGTTGTCATAGATAGATAAAGTAAACATTGTCTTAAGTTGATCAGAATCTTTCAACCTGGCCTTCATTGCCTGTTCAACCAGCTGTAAGCAGGTTTCCACTGACGTGTTTCAGTCAGGCTGTCCTACTTTGTGACCTGCCAGATCCACTGCTGCTCCAGCCACCTATTTTGGCTCGCCAGGTGCTCAAGAACCTTCCTGTTTTGCTGTGTCCAACACAGCAAGAATAGCATGTTCCCTGAACCCTTGGCAGACAGTCAAATGTGGGTCAAGGGCAGCATTTGAAGGATCACTAAACATGCAGTCCTGTACGTATTTAGGCTGAAAAATGCATTTCTACGCCCAGCATTCCCACGCAGAATGAAGTTCTAGGATTGGGCCATAGTTTATGTAAGCATGGGGTGTTACAGGAACTGCACCCCAGCATATGTTGTTTAATTTTCTTCTGCCATACATGATGAATTTTACTTGCTTTGGCAAGTGCATGCAAACGTAGAGGATAAGCACCCCCTCACACACAGCCAATTTAATAGATACAAAGAGTTATGCCCACTTTATGCGCAGCTAATTGAACAGAAGTGAGTATGACACCCATGCAGTGTTAAAGAGCTTGTGAGAAGAGTAGTTAAACATGCAATCCTGTGCTAGTTCAGACTGTAAAACATGCCTACACCTCCCAGCATGCCCCAGCCAGTCATGCTGGAAGATGCAGGCCTTTTTTCCTGCCTAAACATGCATGTGACTGCTCCTTCAATGTCATCAATGCAGTGCATATACTAGATTCCAGCAGCATGGTTAGTTTGGAACCACCGCCTCTACCCCATTTTCTGTCCAGCATGCAGGCAGGAGTCTGCTTTCTTCTGGTGCAATTCCACTGAAATTCATCAAAATTACCTGATTTTACTTGTATGATTGGGAGCCTTTTCAAAAAGTTTCCAAATATCTGATTGTGATTATAAACTGACTTAAGATTATGGGAACTTTTGTTTGGTGTAGTAAAATATCGTGCCTAATATTTTATATGAATAAACCTTTCTGTTCATCATTTATTGTGAAATCCCTGTATTTGTGTGTATATGCAAATATTGTTTGTATTTCTCTAAGGGCTGCATTGTAATTTCTCTTCTAGTAAAGTGGACATTTGCGTATACAGGTTTGCTGTAATTTTTCTCCCTTCCTGCCTCTTACTAGAAAGCACTAAGAGCAGCCATTTCCACTGGTAATACTGATAATTTAGCACGTGTACACTGCACAGCGTTTTTAAAGCGTGTCTCCTAATATTACTTCTGTATTACTAACCTTGTTGCAAATAGGGAGGCTAAGAGAGCGGCTTGGCTTGCCCAAGAGCAGTGCAGCATAACGATTTCTCTTGCATGTATGCTTGCAGTTAAGGATTGGAACGCATTTACAGATCTGCAGTACACAGTATTGCAAGGACAACCTCTAGAGCCTGCCAGGTGGAGACCACAGTTTCCATAATCACTGTCCATTGACCATGCTGGCTGGGGCTGATGGGAGTTTCAGTCCAAACTATTTAGTGGGGGATATATACACAAGGTTGTCTTCCTTTGCAGTAGTGTGTACTACGAAGTCTCTAGAAAACAAATTAACCTACCCTACATAAACTACTGAGTCTTGGGATCTGCATGATGTGGCTGCTTTCCAGGCTCTCTGCTCCAGTCTTTCATCTCCAGTCCGTTAGCTTCTGTCCTCTCTCCTTAGCAGCCATGCTAATCTACCTATCTAACCCAACTTCTAGGCAGAGTTTACTAATTTACGGATAGATGGCACTGCCACCTACTTCCTAAACATTAGGGGCTGTTTCACCCCCTTTCCAGTCCGATAGTCGTGGGCTTCTGAATCTCAAGCAGCTCTGCTTCCTTCACCCTGGCTATCCACCCCCCACTGCCCTGCATCCTTCTGCTGCAATTGCCATAGGTACTTTACTGGCTGAATGGTCAAATTTAGTTCCCACCACCTTTCCTAAGGCGGGATCTCTTTCCCCACCCCTTAGATAAACTACTGAGTCCCTCTCCGAAAGATAGCTTGATTTGTTAAAGCAACAAAGTGAGTAAAATTGTCACCACAAAGCCACCGAACAGCCAGCTTCAGTTGCAAAACTTGTTTCCCACTGAACTGGCTCTGTCTGACAGTACGGAGTGTGTGCGTCATGGAAACTGCTCACCAGAGGTTTATTAAAGCCCTGTTGCAAAAGCTTTGCATTCCAAGAAAGGTCCATCTCTAACTCATGTCTCAGATTTTACTCAGTTGCCTCCAAAATGCTGTATACTGTCTTAGAGCATTCCCGAAAGAACTGCTTCTTGAGCAGTCTATGACGTGTGTTGCTGCTCCAGGTTGCTTCCTTCCCCCAAACCTTTCTTATAGCCATTCTTCTAAAGTTGGTCAGATTGCCAAGAGATTGTTTATGGCGCAAACACACTTAGGAAAACGTGGGTGAGAGCAAGCAACTTCTATAAAAACAAAAATGTAGAAGATACTAATACCTGTTTCACTAAGTTGCTAGAGTAAGAGTCAAAACATTAACATTTCCATAGTGTGAGGAAGTGCAATCCCCACAGAACGGTAGGGTTTCGTGAGCACATTTTCTCAAAGCTACCCAAGACTATTTCAAAGGGATCCTGGAAAAGGAATAGTTTAGCTTGCAGGAGCTTCAGGGGATGAATGGGCAACTTTAGGATGCAAATTTAGAAGGATGGCTGGACCATTAAACTGAAAATAAATAATCAGGCAGGTAAGGAAAGCTTCATAGGGAGCTAATTGATCCCTGAACCAGGTGATTTCCAGGCAAAAGCAATAGGTGATAATTACTGGATTAGATAGGTAATCCATATATTTTAGCACTGACAAAGCAAGCATGCAATTGCATCTGGATGACTCTGCAGAGGAGTTAGAATATCCAAAAAAGCGAGCATGCTTCCCTAGTGCAGTGTCTAAAGTTCCTGCATAGTACAGGCAGCCAGTCTGAATGTTGGGCAATCAAAAACTCTTAAGAGCAACAGATCAGCCATATTTAGTTTCTCAAGCATCAAGCACTTAACTTTGTGAAGACTAAAGCTGCATGATGAGTTTGCATTTGCAAACATCCAGCAAAGTACAGGCAAAGTGGAAGTTAGTACTTGCTCTGTCAGCTCTGGGCTACACTTTGACTATAAATAGTTTTAGCATTTGTTTTAAGCATGCATAATTTAATTAGATTTCTTCCAGCATGTGCACTGTTGACCACAAATTCATGTTTCTCTAGTTTGAACACTAGTCACCTGCAAGCAGGTGGCGCAGTGGTTTAAACTGCTGGGCTGGTTGATCGAAAGGTCGCCAGTTCAAATCTGCACAACGGGTGAGTTCCCGTTGCTCCGTCCCAGCTCCTGCCAGCCTTGCAGTTCGAAAGCACGCAAATGCAAGTAGATAAAAAGGTACCACTGCGGCGGGCAGGTAACAGTGTTCTGTGCACTTCGGTGTTTAGTCATGCCGGCCACGTGACCACGGAGACTGTGGACGAACGCTGGCTCCCTCGGCCAGGAAACGGAGCTCAGCACCGCCCCCTAGAGTCAGGCATGACTGGACGTAATGTCAAGGGGAAACCTTTACCTTTACACCTGCAAGAATTAAGTCTTGTGCCGGCATAAGACAGAGGCAGAGGAAACCAAGTAGAACACGTAACACTGTCAGTAAAAGTACAGCAATGTTTTGCAACTTGGTAGAGTTGGTTCATGAAACAAGCTTTTCTGGGGATTTCCTCATAGATTTCTCTTTAATGCTGACAGTGCAGCAATGATCTGAAAGCTTTTCAAGTTGGTTATGTTCAGTCTTGTTGCAGGATGGAAATCTCATCCTGTCGCTTGCAAGTCACATTTCAGCTGCTGTTTTGACCTGTATGTGGAAGACTGGTATTTGCAAAGGCTGAATGGAAATTGCCCTGATGGCTTTCCTAAAGGATGGCCAGACCCCCCTTCCCCAGAACATTTCCATTTAGACACCACAGCACTCAGCCAGGGCCCTGGACAAGGACATTGATGCAAAGGATCCTGAGGCTATAGAACACATCTGCATATCATGTGCATATGTTAATGTGCATGTCTGAACACACAGGGACATTTACCTACAATGCACCCCAAATAAAATATTTTTTTTCTATTAATTTTCACCCCATGCGCAGATCATCCCAAATTGGTTCTTTTTCAGCTACACTTAATTTGCACTGACTGTGAATAGGTGTGGGGAAAATGCACGAAATTGTGGCAGAGAGAGAGAGAGAAACAAACAAACAAACAAAAGCAAGCTTGTGGTTCCCCCATGGAAAAGCATTCCCCTTGCAATTATGCTTAGGAGAGGGAAAAACCCACTTTCATTGACACCAATGGAAGTTTCTTTCCTAAGTTTAATTGCCATAGGAAAAGGTGTTTTTTTTCTTTTTGGGAGGTGCAGAAATGAGGGGATTTTAATCCATCCTTCCCCAACTGCAACCAAGCCTTAGTCCCCACATCATAGAAGAAAAACTCTTCTATCGTCATCCATAGCACTGAGGGTACTGATGCTTTGGGGATTGGGGTGAGTCCTAGAAACACACCAATCTATGAGGATTAGTCAAAAAGACAGCATTCAGCTAGTATAATCTGCTGCTGGTTCATTCTATAATCCGGGGAGAACAACTATAAAGAGGCAAACATCTTCTGGGCATTAATGTTTTAATATGCAGGATAGGTTTATGGTTGAAAAAGTAAACACTGGCCTTTCTTAAGTATGGTAAGGCAAAATGCAGGCAGCCTAAAGTAAGCATTCGTGTTTTTGCGAAGACTTTGAGGATTATGTATTCTTCCACCAGAACATTTCAATGTTTAAGATCCCAAGTAAGCATGCCAGTCCTATGCACCCACCCACTTGGAAGTCTGCTTTCCAAAATGAACTTGGTGAGTTCCTATTCCCGCTGCACCCACCACCAGTTATTAAGCGTTCTGAGTTAGTAAGAGAACATCCAGGTGCAACTCTTGTGGCGACCTCTTTCAGAGAATGGGGCTCCTACGAGCAGCTTGGTGGTGCCAGTCCTCTTCCTTTCTTCCCTTTCTGAGAAATGCTGCAGTTTAACTCACTCGCCCCACAGGGAGCTTCTGCAACCCTGTGACTGGCTTCAGCGGCAGTATTCCTGCTCGATTATGGCCATCAGCTCCTCTTCAGAGTAATCGTAGGATACCTTGGCCTGCATCTCAGGCTTCCTGAGTGGGACCCTGGAAGGGAAGGGAAGGGAAGGGAAGGGAAGGGAAGGGAAGGGAAGGGAAGGGAAGGGAAGGAAGCATGTTCAATGCAAACAGCTGAATTATGGTGAGATCCAATTTTCCTCCCCCTGCTAGCAAAATATTATATTCTCTCCCACACTATTCTATTTCTCCTTTCTATAACTTACATAGGTAATTTCCCCACCACTTTTTAAAATAAGTATTCAAAGTCATGTATACTCCAAGTTTCAATTTTTAATAAAATTGAGTCCAGGTGACAGGGGACACTGCCTGAAAGGGAAGTCAGAGAAATATGTTGGGCATAGTTAAATTTAATCAAGTAAGATTTTTATGCTTATTGTAGAGGCAACAAAACCAAGGACAGAGAGTAATTGTACTGGTGAATAAAGAGATTAGATAACATACCAAAATGAAATTTGAGAAGGAACCTCTTCAATAACGCTGCATAATATGGTAAGAAAAGAAGCTAACAATGTATTGATTGACTGATTTGATTTATTTTGCCCCCATCATCACAAAGAGCCCGATGCAATTATATATTTATTTTATTTCTATACCAACCAATAGACAAAGTTTTCTGTGAGCCTTACTACAACCCTCCATTATAAAAATAAAAGTAACATCAGAGTAATAAAAACAGAAAAGTCCTCAGGTTAAAAAAAAAAGTTATTACCAAATTAATGTCCAAATTCCTCCAAGACTGAGTGTTCATCCTCAGGCAAAAGCAAACAATACTGAAATCAACTTTTTAGATGTGTTGAATTCCAACTCCTATCACCCACAAACACCCATCAGGAACAGTGGAAGTTGTAGTACAACAACCTTGGATTAGGGAAGGCTGATAAAAACTAAGATGGCAATATTATTCTTAAATTCAAGCTCCACCAGTGTGTGTTGGGAGTATATGAAGTTGTCCAACAGTTCAGAATCACAGCATTCCAAACATGTTCAGCAGGTAATAAGAATAATATGCTTCGTCAAGAAACTTTTCACAGGCACACTTGCAATATGCTGTGAAAAAGAAATAGCACTAGACCATGTTAAACAACAGGTGAATGTATGCGAAATGAGAGCTGTGCCTGCTTCTTTACCCATGACTCAAGAAATCGTCATTTGAATTACAGTAACTTACTGGTTGGCAAAGTCATTGCTTTCTTGGATGGATCTTGCTAGAAAGACCTGGAAAACAAATGAACATGACAACACTAAGCATGTGAACTCGAGATTGCACAATTATGCATTTTACTAGCTGGGTCAATCGCTTCAGTAAAAGCAAACATGATTTTTCACTGGGGAGAGGCAAGGTGACTGACATCCCTGTAATGGAGAATTTCAGCCGCTGGGTTCTAGCTTGGTGTCTAGCTTTCCCCACTCTAAGGCCTGTGTGCGCATGTGGGCAAATAAATAATCAGAGGAAGTATGCCTGCTGCTGGGAAAACAAGATGGAGGGTGCAGTTGTGCACATGTCCTACCTTTGGGTTTCTCATGAGAACATCTGGCTGATCGCAGTGGGACCAGAATGCTTGGCCAGATCAGCCAACACACGTGTGTATGTGTGTGTGTGTGTACGCGCGTGCGCATGTGTCTGGGGGCAGCATTAGTGAAGCAAACTAGAAGAGTGCTGTTGAAGAAAAGGCACTCTCCCTCTTAATGTTATATAATTCCGTTTCAAGAACAAAAAGGTAGCACAGCAATCAGAACTTACGGGCATATTATTTCAAATGGGGAGTATTTTGGGAAGCTGCTTCAATTTCCCTGCATAGACTGAGTCAGAGGAGGCATCGGGCTTGCTGTCCCTTAGTCATGGCCAAGAACGTTCAACTGTGCTGTCTCTCTGCAATCTCTAATGCTCTTTATATAATACCCACCCTACTTTATAGGCCACTTGGGCTGGGAATTATGGGAGGCGTGATCTCAACATACCTGAAGGGCGCCAGGTTGGGGGAGGCTGTTATAGGGTATCACCTGCGGAACAGATTGTCTTGCTGTTGTGTTCAGTTTAGCCTTAACAGAGTCAGATGATCCAAATATTATTGGTGTTGATGCTCACCAAACTGCAGAAGTTGAAACGGGGGTGACTTTGTTAACATACCCCAGTTGCAGGAAACTTGGATTAGTGTTCACGGATTGGTTTGTGCTCATATGTTCTTTAATCTAAAATCAAGAGTGGAGGGAGATTGGCTGCGAACAGGAATGCTCCTCTTCTGATAATCATGGTTAAGTGAGAGCCAGTGTTGCATTTCTGTTTCTTTCAGGCATAATTCATTAGATACATCGTTGTTATGTGCCATCAAGTCATCTCTGACTTATGACAACCCCATGAATGATAGCCTTCCAAAATGTCCTGTCCCTGACAGCTCCAGTCTCCTTCTCTAGGCTCAAGGCTGTGGCTTCCTTAATGGATTCAGTCCATCTCTTGGTTGGTCTTAGTTTTCTTCTTCTGCCTGTGAATTTCCCCAGCATGCTTGCCTTCTCCAGGGAGTCTTGCCTTCCCATGATGTGCCTGAAGTATGACAGCCTCAATTTTGTCATTTTTGCTTCAAGGGAAAATTCTGGTTTAATTTGTTCTAGGATCCATCTGTTTGTCTTTCTGTCTGCCCAGGGCATTTGCAAAGCTCTCCTCCAACGGTATATTTCAAATGCATCAAGTTTCTTCCTGTCAGCTTTCTTCACTGTCCAGTTTTTATACCCATACATTGTGGTTGGGAATACAATAATTTAAATGCTCTTGGCCTTGGTCTCCAGGGAAACATCCTTACACTTATTAAGTGTGCACTGTCCCTTAAATGCAAGCCATCACCCAAGCTTCCTCCTATCTCTCTCCTGCTGGCCAAAGTAAAGTGCTGGTAACCTGATGCCCTTCAGATGTTTTGGGTTCCACCTCCCACAACCCTGGACCATTATCTGTGCTCACTGACACGTAGAGCAGTCTTAGTCCAAAACAACCAGCTAGCACCAGGTTGGAGTTCCCAGTGGCAGGCCTATGTCGAGAGCCTTGCTAGGGATACAGTGATATAAAGAATCCTACTGCTGTGCTCGTATGTCATATGTGCCAGCCAGAGGTGCAGTACAGTAGGAGTGCACAGGGAGGCACACAGTGGGAGTTTTATATTATTCGCAGGAATGCTGGTGGCAGAATGAATTTTCCCAGCAACAGGATAGTTCTCTGTTGCAATGCAAACTATTTTGGGGTTCTTTGGTCTTTAACAGACGATTTCCCTCAGGGCCTGCTGCTGAGGGAGATGAAACGGCCAGAACCGGTCTCTGGAGATAGATCTACACAGCAACCTGAATGTGTGAATACTCCTTGGAGAGATGGCTGTAAACATCAGTGTTCCAAAATGTACCCCTGTACCACCAGACATGTGCAATCTAACTCACAGAGTGCAGAAATCCTGTTGTAGAGCTTGGATTTACTTCAGCAGAACTTGTGAAGGAGAGTTCTTGAGCACATGATGCCTTTAAAAAGTTATTAATAGAAAACCTCAAAACATCCAGAGTTTTTGCACACAAAATAGAGCAGGGGTGGCCAAACCAAGGCTCAGGAGCCACGTGTAGCTCTTTGAGTCTATCTTGCCACTTGCTGCTGCGAACACCTGTGGGTGCTCACGTGCCACTTGCTGCCGCTGCCCACAGGCACCTGCTTGCTGCCAGTTGCCACCACCTGCGGACACCTGCTTGCAGCTCTCTAACACCTGACATTTACAGTATGTGGTTCTTATGCTGAGCCACTCCTGAGACAGAGGATCCTGCCCAAACTAAGTAAGAAGGCTGGCACAAGGTGGCACTGTTTCTCCAAGGCTTAGCAAAACCAAAAACATATAGTACATTTTCATAAAACTAGAATTTAGAGGGGAAATGGATGTTATCACTGCCAGTTTTGTAAATAAAATATGTCCAGAGTTCATTTTTTGCAGTAGCCGGTAGACAACATTTGCTGTGCTGGGCTGTTAAATGACCAGATGAGCTACTTGAGACACAAATATTTCCTTTACCTAATGAAAGCAAAGCAGGGTGGTACCATCCCAAAAGTGCCACTCACTTCGACTGGGTGGTTCAATACAAGCAGCTGCAGTGGCTTCAAGAGTGGTTAACAAACTGTGCTGCTGGGTTCAGACAACATGCAAGCCACCCTTGGTTTACAAGTCTTATTATGTTGTCTGAACTCAGTCATGGAGCAGATTGATGGAGGAAACTCCCCCAAGCCCTCCAGTATGTCCCCTGCTCTTGCTTGCTGTGGTGCTCATGCTGGCTAGAGTGGAGGAAAGGTGGTGCTACCCTCACTGTTACTCTTTCCAAAATTCTTATTTTTAAAGGTGGAGTGTGTGGAAAACATCCTTGGCAAGAGAACCGGGTTCTAGTCCCCACTTGGCCATGACTTTGGGCCAGTGACTGACCGCTGGCTGGTCTGGCCTGCTTCAAAGCATTGTCGTGAGGATAAAATGAAGAAGAGGGTCATTCTACCTTTGCAGTAGAAAAAGGGTGGGATAGGAATGATCCCCATGCTAAAAAAGATGTGTGGGCCATTAAGGTGCCCTTCATGTGTAGGACTACAACTCCTGTCATTCCCAGCTGCAACAGCCACGGCTGCCTAACCGTTCTGGAAGAGCTGGAGAAGGCTAGCCTATAATGTCACTACGAATTAAGTCCCAGCCCTGTCTTTAACTGAATGATGAAAATGAAATGAGATGCCACAATCGATTCGAATGAGCGCTCTTAATGTAACACTCGCTAGACTCTCCTGATGGCGCATGGCAAGGCTGCGCTGTGATGGTCACAGCTTCACCAGGGCGAAAGTTGATCACCGTTGCTGGCACAGATACACTCTGGCTGTGGGCCTGTGAACCGGTTTTATTGCTGGCGTTGTTGTTGTTTTCCTTGCTGTTTTATCGTGTTCTTACTCTTTATTATGCTTTTATTGCTTTTGATATCATGCAAGTTTTATGTGTATTGCTGCTGTATGCCTCCCTGGCAGGACTTCTGCTGTGAAAGCTGGCCAAGAAATAGTTGAAAAAATAAAATGAAATAACATACAAATAATATGTAGAGCTTCCACTGAGAAACAGTCTCTGGAATCTGTTCTGTGTCAAAGAACCCAGGCCTGAAACAGGAACAAAATGTTTCTGAAGAGGCATGGCAGGAGCCATCCTGAGATCGAATGGTGAATCACATGAAGTGTGTTTTCAGCACCACACCAATCCATGCATTTTGATGACTCTTCTTTATTTTGTGTGTAGCACCATTTTGCAAACATGAAACACGACCTGGCCATGCATTTACATTTCAAATACACCCTGTGGGTTGAACAGGTTCTGATGCTGTAAATCTGGTTCCATTGGCCGTATTGGCTAAGGCTGATGGGGACTATAGAGGGCATCTAGAGGGTTCCAGTTTAGGCAAAGCCTAATTAAATCATTCCATCAGCCTGTCTGACAAGCCCACCCCCTCGCCCAGCGCCTCGCACACTTGCCCCTGAACCTAGCCCTGCACAGGACGTAATGGAAGAGAGCTACTGCGCTTCTCTTGCCTTTCAGATGCTACCAGGCTCATTCGCTAGCATCTTTAGGAAAAAAACTGGTCAGTGGTGAAAGGTCAGGTCCCTGCTGCAGGCTTCGCATTGCTGCCACCCGGGATAAAGGAAACCTTGCCAGCTACATTAAAGAAACAATGCCAGCCACGTTGCTTTCCCCTACTATGGCTCCCTTCATTTTGGATGACACCTCCTCGCAACAGTGGCTAATGGGGGGGGGGGGTCCAGTCAGATTGCTTGGCTCCCACTTCTTTCTAAAAGAAGCTAAACACGCGTCCCGCCGAGAGGGTGCGCGGCTCCGTCGGAACCGGAGCGTCACGCTTGCAGCCAGCACCGCCGCTTGGCTTACCCGCTCCTCCCGGGGGATTCCATCCTCTCTCTTGCCTGCGCCGCCCCCTGCCGGGCGGGAGCAAAAGTCTCCGGCGTCGAGGCGCGGCGGGCGGCGGCCAGGCAGCTCCGGACGCCCGTCGTCGCACTCCTCCAGCATTCGGTCCAGGAGCTCGGAGTCCGAGTCGGGCTCTCCTAGCGGGGGCGAAGGAGGGCGCACAGGCGACTGGCGGCTGCAGCTGCTGCTGCAGTACCAGGCGCCGCCGCCTCCTCCGCCGCCAGCCGCCCTCGCCGCTCCTGCCTGGCCCTGGCCGGCGGGGGCGCTGCTACTCCCGCTGCCCCGTGCAAGACCCCGGTGGCGGCTGCGCGCCTTCGCCGCCCTGCTGCTGCCGGAGCCCATGGCGGCGGGCTCCCGCGGGCGGCTGCAGTTGCTCGCGGCCGCGTCCCAGCGGTGCGCGCTGGTTCTGGTTCTAGAGCCCAACTGTTGCGGAGTCCTGGCGGGCCGCGGCAGGAGAGGGTGGGTTCGATGCCCGGGTCCGCGCCTCTTCCTTTCCCAGATGTATGTATTTATTTTGGATCCCTTGGTTACTGAGAATTTTTTTCACGGGAGGGCCGAAGCAGCAAGCAAACCCGCTCTGCTTTTTCCCAGCGCGCTCGAGAAAGCTGGCTGGTTTTAGGGTTATTTTTCTCTCGCTCTCTCTTTTCTAATCCCAAGAATGTGGCCTTGAAAGAAACCGAATGGGTGTAACCGTCTCCCTCAGAATGAGGCTTGGTTTCAAAAACAGCTCTCTGGAGAAGTATTTTTAAGCGGAAGAAGAAGAAAGTTAAAAGTCGGAAATACCAAAAGGCAGTGTTCTCTCGCATACAGATCGTATCTGTGGTGGATTCGAGAAGTAGAAACCTTGACAAAATGAGCAGAAAGATCCAAAGCAACTGCTGTGCAAAGTAGGAACAAGGAACCAAATCACAGCTCTGCCAAGGGAAGTGAAGCCTCTGACAGATTGCCTGCTGCTCCAAAAGATATTTCCATATAAAAGTAGCATAGCAACCCCAGCTATATATAATGCCTTTACAGTGCTGCCAACCTGTTAATAATATTTATCAAGGTGAATTGCAGGATTTTGGCTCAGTTAGCCATGAAGTTCGATTTGTAAATCTGAAATGATGAGACTGGTCACCATAAAGTCAAGTTCGAGGCTGTAAGCCTGCACATTTAGGAGGAAGTCCTATTGAGCTTAGTGGGACTTACATCGCAGTAAACATGGGCTCCTACGTTTGAGTTAGCCCTCAGCTTAGCTTAGCCTCACTAGGTCATTTTAATGGTAGTGCTCAGCATGAAGGGAAGAAGAAAAATGTTACTGAGCATAGGAAGAGTATTTTTTTTCCATTTGGACTAAACAGAGCTATGATCTGGTAATTGGGGTACAGAGGATATGCCAGGTGTGAACTAGGATGACTCAACAGGACTGTTTTGAGTTTCCAAGCAGTGCTGAGCATTTCGTACAAAGAGGACTTCCACCACTTCAGCCATTTTGCACAGTCGCTCAGTTTCAATGTGGCTGAATCTAGAAAGGTTCCAAAAGAACAGGTATGTTAGTCAGTTGCAGCAAAAACTGTGGCATTAAAAAAAGCCCTTGCAGACTAATTCATTCCAGCACAAAGGAATGGACAGAATAGTCTTCCAGTCTTCGGGAATGGATGTGAGGAGGGAGAGAAAAGAACAGCTGCCTATTTCCTGTTACGACCCTAGTCAGCATAATGGGCATTCAGCATAGCTGCAGTTGTAAGTACACTAAATCAGAGGTGCATGACTGTTTTGGCCCCCAAGTGCTGCGCTCTCTTGTCTTGGGAGGGTGGGGGCACCTGTATATTCACACGCAGGCGGGCGCTCACTTCTACCTCCTCTGCTTGCCCACTGAGATCCAGGGATCGCTGGAGGGTGGAAGAAGGAAATGAAAGGACGAGCACCAGTGTGGCAGAGTGGTTCAAGTAACTTTGGATCAGCCACTGACTCTCAGCTGAATCTGCCTTGCAGGGTTGTTGTGAGGAAAAGCGTGGAGAGGAGAATTATCCAAGGCACCTTTAGTTCCAGTGATTGCCCCCGAGACTGCCGTTTCATTGCCAAAGGCATTAGTGGGAAAATGGATCTCAGAAGCCAGGAGACACCATTTTTGTCAGCTGTGCTTTGGGAAAAAGTGGTGGAGAATCCTCCCAATTTCTGGGACCACACAGGGAGTGGCCAAGGGCTTCCCGGTTGTACACCTGTGCACTAAAAAACTTAGGCTTCAGAGTATGTTGCTTTTGAGTCAACATAACATTCTCCTGGATTGGTGTTTGTGTGTGAGTATGAAAGGAAGCTTTTTAACATAAGAGCAATGCTACAGGGAGACTTCAGGAAAATAGCATTTAGACAGGAACTACTTTTTGGTGGTTAGTCAACTCAAGTGTTAACTAATTTAGGTTTAAGATAGGAATCTGCAAACAAAGTTCATCACACCAGTGAATATTTGCAGTAATTGAGTTCTTGCATGCAAGAGCTATTGGACTTCCTCATGTCTTTTAGGAATCACTTTGATATTTAATGCAAGAGCTACATAATTGAACCTAACTCAGTCATGGGTTTTGCCCAGTTTCTCTTGTCCACTACTGATACACATGTTCTTGGTGCATACAGATTATATTTTTCTTTTGACTCAGGCAGGACAACATTAGTGTTTAATTAATAAAGAACGTTTTCAGTATACTGTAACTATTTCAGTGTGGTGATTTAAAAAATGGTTGTAGCTAGTACTAAAAACAAAATCATGTTCTGGAATCAGCCTAAAGAACATCAAATAACTGGAGAAAATAAGGCAGATAAATGGTGTTGTATCTTAAAGGAAGGTGAAGTCAGGTAGAAATTAAAGCATGTTTTTCTCTTTTTATCAAGGATATATTAGATTGTTTAATTATATCTTATTATATTTTCAGCTGGGTTTCTCCCACCAGATGCGCATTGTAGCCAAAACAGAACAAAACGCCATGTACATGCAATTCTGAATGTGCAGATTTAAAATGCAGAGACTTTTAAATGTACTCCATTTCCTTAGATCTGAGCAACTTAAGAAATAAATATATTGTGGTTTTTATTTGGAGGGCACCAGACTGGGGAAAGCTGTCCTTTTGACAAATCATACCATTACAGCCCATGTTCTGTTGGCAAATTGTTGTTTAATAAGACGCTCCAATTTGGAATTTACAGTTTCCCGGAACAAAATTCCACTGAGTTCAGTGAGATGTAGTTCCAGGTAAATGTGTACAGAACTGCAGCTTTTGGCCTTGTTTGTTCAGTTTACTGCTTGTCAGTGCCAACATGAGACATTTCTGATGTGTTGCTGTATTCATGCAGAAAACGGGAATCTGCAGCAGTTTGAAAAGAGCCAATCCTTGTTGTCGTTGGAAAGAACCACCCCCTTCTCCACAAATGTACGTAGACATTTATGAAATGGAATCCTGTCTTCACTGCACCCTCACTTATCTGGACGGCACTTTCATAGCCCCCACCCATCCCACTTGTTTATTCTGCAGTGCCAGAAGTGTGCATTCATAACATACTGCCAACACTTTCCAGGAAGTAGTTGCTCCCTGGGCCTCCTGAGTGAGAAGGCATACCTGGAAAAACGAATGCAGAATCAAAGTTGAAGCAGAGCGAGGGCAGAGAACTATATAGAAATGGAGTATAGGTATGTTGCATCAACAGTGAGTCAACCTCAGGTGAAGTAACTGTCAGACAACCTGTTGGTTGTAGAGTGACCATCATCCACAGTGTTGTATTCCTGATCACTATGTGTGGTTGTGAACCCTGGGCAGGAAAAGAATTGGTGCATTGAAACCCTGGTGCTAGAGGAGAGCTTTGTGAATACCCTGGATTGACAGAAAGACAAAACAAGTGAGTTCTAGATCAAATCAAGCCAGAACATTCCCCGGAAGTAAAAATAAGAGAAATTGGACTGTCCTAATTTGGGCACATCACAAGAAGGCAAAACTCCCTGGGGAAAGGCAAGACAATCATGCTAGGGAAATTCACAGGCAGAAGAGAAAGAGGAAGACCAGCGATGAGATGGATTGACTCCATAAAGGAAGCCACAGCCATGAGTTTAGAAGAGCTGAGCAGCGCTGTCACGGACAGGACTTTTTGGAGGACATTCATTCATAGAGTTGCCATATGTTGGAGGAAATGTGACCACACATAGCAAACACCATCGGTTGGTGGTGGTTGCCAACTATTTGACGGCATCTTCCGTTTGAAGAAGTGTCCTGCCCATGTGTGGCTGAAAAATGAGGGCTGGGAGCCACCCTGAAGTGGCTCTTGAGCAGCTCCTGGACAGCAGACTGACCAGACCACATGCTACCGTGGTCAAAGTCTTCTTCAGTATAGTCAAATGCATTGTGTTTCTGTGTAGATTAAAGTCAGCATTTAACATGTGTATGCGCATGTGTGTGAGCACCTGCAGTTTTTATGCAACGCTCTGCCCTCCACTTTGCCCTCTTTGAGGTGATACCTTTCCTCTTTTTTGGTGATTCCAAGTGGGCACCTTAGTTTAGTGAGCAAAATACCGTGGTACCTCGGCTCACGAATGCCTCAGTTCATGACCAAATCGAGTCGCGAACAGAAATTTCATAAAGATTTTGGCGCAGGTGGCGAACTCTGCGTCGGGTGGCGATCACGAGCATGCCTGCCTTCCCTGCACGGGGCGATTGCAGTTGGGCTGGGTGGGGCGAGATGGCCACAATTGCGCCCATGGTCCCTGCCCGAGCGCCCCCCCCCACGCGCCCGCCTCCACCCAGCGCGCCCACAATCGCGCCAATCGCGCCTGTCTCCCCCCACCCACCCCGCACGATCGTTGGGGCAGGGGAGATGGCCGTGATCTTTGTTGCTCTTTGTCACTTTGCTTGAAATTTTTGTGAGTAAAAAAAATAGTTGCAGAACAGATTAACCTTATTTACATTGACCCTCATGGGGAAATTTGACTTGGCTCACGACCGATTTGGGTCACGACCAAAGTCCTGGAACGGATTAAGTTTGTGAGCCAAGGTACCACTGTATATTGCCCTTTACCCAGAATTTGGTCTCAGTTTGATGTGAATAACTTAGGAAGGGCACTTAGCTTTTCAGCCTACCCAACATCCTGAACAACATGTCATTCAATGCCCTCAAATCAAAATTGAAAAACATGGTTCTTTATTCAACTGGAAATTCAGAAAGACAGAAGTACTATCTTGATTAAAATCTCCAAAATGGCCCTGGATTTGACCCAAAGTCTGTGGAAATTGCTCTGCTTGTTGTAAGCTTGTCCCTGTGTGTTGCCAGTGATATTTTCCCCACCATTTACCAGAAGTAAACATGTTTTCAGAGCTCTG